TGGTAGGGGTGAACCACCAGCCTTCTGGTTAGCAGTCAGATGCCTTAGATACTATACCACCAGAGCTCCCTAACATGAAAATGCCAGAAAATGTAGTCGAGTCGGACATAGCGACCCCTCCTTGGGTTTCCGAGGCAGTATCACTACGGAAGTAGATTGCCCCATCTTCCTTCCAAGGAGTGGCTGGTAGGGTTGAACCGCCAGCCTTCTGGTTAGCAGTCAAGTGCTTTAGCCACTATGCTACCAGAGCTCCCCCACCAGTAGATTAGAGATCCAAAAATAACTCATCACTGCCATGGAGTCGGATCCGACTCATAGTGACCCCTCCTTGGGTTTTCAAGGCAGTATCACTACCCAAGTAGATTGACCAACTCTGCATATACAAGTATCCCCTGCTTTTCAAAAGTTCACTTTACGTTACTTTGCTTTTACAAAAGATCTACATTAGGACTTATTTTAGCTAACTGACAGAAACCCAGAGGATTTTTGCTTTTATGACGAAAAAAAAAGGCAAAAAACGAAAACAGTGGTTAGTGTTTGTTTTGCAGTCAGCTGCTGAAGATGCAGCTTGCATCACAAGCGGCAGTGAGAGTGGTGTTGTCGTTTTTTATACTGACTGCATAGCAGCTTGACAAAGCTTCTCCTCTCAAATTCCTGTGCTCTTATTTGAATGTCCCAGCCACATTCATTCAAATGCCTGATGATGTACAAATGCACGATGCATTATCCAGTCTTCAAATAGCGCCCTGTTCATTTCTCTAACTGTATGACTCATCCCTTGGCAATCACAGGTAATACAAATCCTGCTCTTTATTTGAACTCTAGCCCTTCAACCCAGCCCCTAGTGTCCCTGCCAGCTATACTACCTGGGTTACTACAGCCATCACCACCATCTCAGTCTTCCAGTGTGTCCCTATCTTCTCAATTCTGGTTAAGTGATACTATACCGCACATACATTATTTCCACTTTGTAAACCCACCAGCCACTCCTCAGAAGGAAGGTTGGGCAATCTACTTCTGTAGTGAAACTGCCTCGGAAACCCAAGGAGGGGTCGCTATGACTCAGATCCGACTCAATGGCAATGAGTTTAGTTATAGCCTATGTATTTCTCATCTCATTCCTGATTTTACTATATGTTAATGTTATTTTAGGCTTTTTGTGTCATTTGGTATGATTTTGTAGATTTTTTTTTTGGATCTGGGAACACTCAAAAACTTTTCACATATAAATTAATGGTAATTGCTTCTTTGCTTTACATCATTTTGGTTCCCAGAAAGTTTCACAGAAATGCTCTATGTTCTGATAGTGGGGGAAACTTGTACTTCCTTTGTACAGATTAAATTGATAAGACATTTGGTATTTCAGTATGAATAAAGATTTATAATAGGAGGATTTAATTTTCAAAGATTGCTAAAAAATATATATGTATATATACCTGCAGATCTAATCTTAGTAACTCCAATACCAAATTCAGTAGTAATCTGTTTTCCTAGGACAATTACCTTGGGTCATCAATGGAGAGAAGCTAATTGTTTTTTTTACCTGCCAGAAGTAATATAAGGCACACAGCGAAAAAGTCTGGGTACTCTGCAAGGCCGGTATAATTCATTTTGAAGTATGTCCTGAAAAACTGGCCAATCTGTTTGCTAAGAAGTTCATCAAAGGTGCCACTCCATGCTCTTGCAACACTCGATGTACCTTCCCAAAACATAAAACATTTAGAGAACACAAGGTCAGTGGCAGAATATTAATATAACAATGTTTGCTGCTCTGTATTCTAGGTCAAACATGGGTTAGTTCACACAGAACTGAAATTTGTGAACATACAGGAAATTGTCTTGATAATTTTAAAATTATACGATAGTAACTTTGGAATCAGATAACTTTATTTGCTTTAAAAATTCCTGTAACTAATATGCCTGCTTTAGGTTTTCAAACTCACTAAGAAACATATTCAGAGATGAAGGAAACATTTCAGAGATCAGAAAAATGAGACACCAGGGATCAAGTAACTCACTCAAGATGATACAGTCACTGACCTAGAACTGGACCCTAAGCCTCTGACCCAGGAGTGCTCTTCCTACCATTCCACATAATCAGGACTGATTTTGAAACATACCTATCACATAAGATAAAATGAGATTCCAGCCAGTGATGAAGGCCCACAGCTCTCCCACAGTAACATATGTGTATAAATATGCAGACCCAGTCTTGGGAACACGGGCCCCAAATTCAGCATAGCAAAGGCCTGCCATCACAGAAGCGAGGGCAGCAATGAGGAAGGAAACGACAATACTTGGACCAGAATCAGCTTTGGCAACTTCTCCAGCAAGGACATAAACCCCTGCCCCAAGAGTGCTTCCAACCCCCAGGGCAATGAGGTCCATGGTGGATAAGCAGCGGCATAACTTGGAATCCTCTAGACTGTCCTGAGTGACAACTTTTCTCCGGATCAGACATCGGGCAAAAGACAGGGCAGCTCTGCAGGGAATCATTCTGAAGATGGCAACCTGAGGGAGAGAAAGGAGCAGTTTAGAAGCGGGACCTGGAACTATCATCTCTTCACTTGGCAACTCAGCTTCCCAGTGAAACTACAGCAGCTATGTTTTCTTTACCACTTAACAGAGGTGGCTCCCAGCAATCAGGAGGAGGACTTCATAAACCAAGGCTGTGAATTTTCTGCAGCTCACGCAGGAGCTCTTATAAAAGCAGGAGCTTTTCTAAGCCACTGCCACAAATGGCTTATTTGGGGAGCAAAGGAATAGGAGCCACAGAAGATTTTTAAAAATTGCCATTTTTGTTCATGCACTACAATTTTTTAAGATATGTTGATGGGAATATATATAAGGAATGGCTAAGTTTAGTTCTTGCAACGCAACAAATGGGGGGTAAATTATCTCATTTTTTTACATTTCAGTCTGTATCTCTTTTCCAACCATTAAGTTGTATTTTAGGACCTTATTACAGGACTGGGATCGTGCTGAGAATGTATCTGAATGCTGTCTGCAATAGATATGGTGTCTAGCATTATGGGACTTATACTCGAGCTACTGCCTAGAAGCAGACAAAACATGATCATTATGCATTAAATGCTTTACCAAATACATGTCAGCTTCTCTGTTTTCATTTTAAACTTTTAATGTGGAGAACCTTTTGAACCTTTTAGAATAAAACATTCCTCACTAAACTTACTTAGATTTCCCTAAGAAAAACTGCTATTTAACTATGCTTTAAGTAAAAATTTTTACTAAAATACATGATTATTATATTTAGTTGAGATTGCTAAAGAAATATATTCAAAGTCCATACAAATTATTATTACATGTTCTTTTTCACATGGAAGGGATAAGATAAACAGAAAACTTTTTCTGCTTACCCCACTCCACCCCTAAATAACCTAATACTGAAGAAAAAAAAAATCAGGTTTAAAACAAAGTAT